TAATATTAAATATCTACAATATTACATATACTTCTACAGTAATTAGCCTAAATTGGATCTAACACCCACAGCTAACAGGAAAACCTCGCAACTGCAATTTATTTATTTGACCAACACAGGGGAAATTGTTTCCCTACGTCACAGTGCATTTCATCTCCTCCTTGAATGTTCTTGAAATGAAGGATCTTATGGGTTTATCAGTTAGACTTGCTGGACGTTTTTTCAGGGAACTTGAAAAAATTGTATCTTCATAAGGAGAAAATCAGTTTCCCCAGTAATAAAATCTGAATAACAGATGCATCTCAAAGAAAGAGAACTACATGGAAGAAAGCATATACAAAGCAAGTAAACTTTCCATGTGATCTAGTAAATTAGATTATATTTTTGCTACCTATAAAATTCAGAAACTTCAGTATGTTGCTTAGGACATTCATACACAAATATTCTTTTCAGGAAACTTTTCAAGAAAATTTGCAAATGGCAAATCTTTTCTACTAATTTCAGTGGGGGTTGAAATTCAGTTGAGAAAAATTCTACTTCCTGGCCCATTTGCAAACTATGTACGTTCAAAGAAGAGTAGGCTATGCTTGAGCTACATTCCTGAGTTCAAAAAGTAAGGCTCCATCAAAAAATAAGTAAACAAACATAAGTTGCTTACATAAAACAGTGATAAAGAACGTGAAACAAAGTTATTTTAAAGTTTTAAGGATTTACTAACAAGTAAATACAGTTCATCAATGAAGTCTAAAGGATATTTGTTTGTGTAAAGATGCAGCTTCCATATATCTTACATGATCATGCACGCAATCTGTTTTCTTGCCTGTTCAGTCTTTCTATTCTATGGCACTATTTTGTCTGAATTCTTTCAAAAGAAAACATGAAAACATGTAGCTGAGTCTTCAAAATGCCTTGGAGATTTTGTTTTAATCTCTGGAAGGAAAATAAAAACCACCACTCACTTTCATCAGCTTCTGTTTTGAGGAATTACATGATGCAGTCATGGGAAACTCATAAATTTGAAACACATTAATTCCTGCGTAAAGTTATCAGAGAATGGACACCTCGAAGATATGCAGGCATCTAATTGCCCTCTGTACAGACAGGCGTGACAGACTGATGGATCTGGCCCAGAAGCAATAAGCGGCTCAGCCAGATGGATGGAGCGGTGCAGAACACGGCTGGGCTCCTTATAGCATGCGTGATGAAATTTTAATACTCAGCAGGCTGAGTAATGAACCACTCGGAGCTTGCCAACATGGAAACACTGTGGCATGGAAGAGTTCCCTAAGTTCCCTCCTGCTTCATTGTCTAAGCATTTCATTCAGTTTTATCAGAAGCCATTCATTCCACCTTTGATTCACAGCCAAGAACCTGTTCCTGAAGAGAAGGCACTCAAGTCCTTTTGGTACAATTCTGAGTGAATATAGTTCCCTACCCCTCTAAAACATGACTAGCGATCAAGGATATGACAAGGAATATTTACTTTGGGTATTTTGATGAGGCTTAGCTGATAGGCCAGCACAGAAATGATGAACACTACTAAAGCTGCGGTGTTTCCTCGCAAGCCCAAAATCAATTCCTTCAAGGTTAGCAAAAGGTTCTGTGGAAGAACTGAGCATTTATATCACATCAGTTGCCCAAGACTTGTTGCAATCAGAGCTTTGGATAAACAGTCAGTTCTGGGTAATGTTCTGAACAAACTGGCACATCTACAGGCAAACTACACTCCAGAGATATCACTTTGTGTCACAGAAACTACAAAAGCCAGATTTTCTCCTGGCTACTTAGACCTGCCTCTCACCAGGCTAGCAGCTATGGACCTATACCAGTGTAAGATGCAGTGATTTCTGTCACGGATCTCAGCTGCATAATTCTATGCAGAGTGGCGCCGTGCTGTGCAAAATCACCTCACGCTACTTTCTGGATCTCAACTTCTGTGACAAGAAAAGGTTATATATGAAGTCTGTGAGGACTGAAAACTGAGCCACATGGAGCTTCATGGTACAGCTGGATGTACAGCTCCTTCACATATGCAAGAGGAGTACAGAAAGCAAAATTGAAGCCAGAAATAACAGCTCTTCAGCATGTTTCTAAAAACCTGGTTCCAAGGGCACAATCTTCAGACAAAGAAGATGACTTCATGAATCTACTATCCAGAGGTAAGCCAGCGAACAATTTTCCTGGTATCTCCAAAAAAGGAGGTAAACCAGCGAACAATTTTCCTGGTATCTCCAAAATTAATGGCACTGTAAGTACTTGTTATGTACATCTGCAGTTGTTTTAAGATGTTGGACCAAGGTATGGCAGAAAATACCACTGTAAGCTGTTTCAGCCTGACTAAACTTGCAAATATGGATAGCTGTTCCATGTACTAGTTTTAGATACTTGAATACTAACATAGGTAACAAATATTAACAAGAAAAATTCCTTTTAGAATTATTTTAAATTGGCACACCCCCCCAACATTAAAATATGCTGATTACAATCAGTCCAATTTGATTATTCCTCGATAAGAAAAAGCATCTGAATAATAAACTTCGGTGTCATCAGACAACAGTGACATCACTGAAGGATGGATATTCACTTCCACTGGAGATGTAAAGGTAGGATTTCACTTTGAATAATGACAGTATTTAAAATAAATGCAATTGATTTAAAAATTGTTTAAAAAAGCTCGTTACCAAGAAAAGCTTAGTAATAACAGCTATAAGTTCTAATTTTAGTTTGTGTTCCGCCAGAAAACCATGATAAAAACAATTAATTAATTATCCAGTAGCTGAATAAAATAAAGATGGCAAAATCTTCAAACTACCCTGTATCAGTAAGAAACTGATTTTTAAACCATTTACTATTTGACACAAAATTATTCACCTTGTTTTAGAGGAGGTAAGTCTTAAAAAGCTTAGCTTCTCAGGGGGTCACATGTATGAAAAAAAGTATTTTTAAGCAAGACTCTTCTGCCCCTACAGACTCCAAAATACTATAAGTTAGACACCTTTTTTTTAAACACATATTATTCCATTGTATAATTCTTTGTCTTCCAAGTCTTTCTCTTACTTTACTATATGAAAAGAATATTCCCAAATATGAATAAGCACCAGAAAGTCAGCACAGCAGACTAATATTTGAGTTCACTTAATATTCATGTTAGTTCTACCCACTCCCATAATGATTCAGAATTTTTAAGACAAATATAAAATTAAAGTTCACTTAGTATGTATGGGAGAAACAACGACACAACACAAACAATATTAGATTGTTACTGATTCCCTTTTAAGATCAATTGCCAAGTCTAAGAACAGCTATCTAACTATAAGCTTTCAATATTACTTTCTGGACAACAGTATTTCAAGTATTTCTTAACAGTTTTTAGATGAAACGCTAAAATTTTAAACTCTCATATGTAAAATATTTGTAGGGCAAACTACAGACGTCAAAAATTTGCATAAAATCTCCTTGGTTCTACAGAGAGATTAGTGGTCAAAATATTAAAAACTTCTCAAGGAACTGGAGTCTCTTAAGAAACAGCAAAGTGACCTTGATACCACGGATGACTCAACAGTATAATATAATTTTACCAACAGGAAAGAAGTTTATCACAAAAACATTTCCTTCCAAAGAAGAAATTTCCCAACCTTGATGTCACTGGCTGGAACAATCCTAAAATAATAGTATTATACAAACACAGTTCATATACTTTTTTGAAATGCAATCATACCATAATGAAAATTTAAAGTGCCAGTGGAGTGCACTTAAGGTGCAAATATAATACGGTACTGCATTACCAAATATTACCTACTCTGTGCTTAAATAATTCCAAGTATAACAGTTTCTCTTATGTTAATTGTAAGTCTAGTTGCTGGGGAATATTATCTAGAATAAAGTAAGATTTTATTTTAGGGAGTTAATTCTCCCCAAGATAAAATCTCCCTTGATTTGTTAAGAATCTTTATATTTAAGTCAACTTCATGTATAGCTTCTGCTGAATTAGTGAAATACTCTTCTGACTTCTGCCACTTTTATTGAACTGTTACATTCAGTATTTTTGTTGCATCTTTGGCATTCTACTGAATAATTATTTCCTACTTATCATGGAAAACAATAATTTATTTGATTGCAGTCTGAATTGCTTAAACTGAAGAAGAGTTTCTTCCAACAGAGATAGATATTTTTTGTAGTTTTTCTACACAAAATCACACAAAACTTGGCACTAAGCTTGGAATATCATACTAAAGTACTCAAAATATATCACACTTGGTATTTCCACGGATAAAAACAGATCCTTTAAACTCAAGTCCTATAACCTTTCATTTATTAGGTTCACCTGAGAGAACAAAGAAACTAGTATCAAGAAGCTCAAAACTACAAAATCTTTCCTTGCACCAATCTGACCATGAGATCAGCTTCATTTTGTTACAGTTTCTTAAACAATCTCACCATCATCCAAACAATGTACCAGAACAATTTCTTAAACTGAATAAGTACAATGTTTAAAAAAGAGAACGACTCATATGTTATCATTACATTTTCACATCAGGGCGGCAGCTTTAAATAATTATCTCTAACGCTTTAAATACCTTGAATGATGAAATTATGATAAAACACGTTCACAAAACTTATCAGTACCTCTCTGCAAATAACAAGCTAAAAAGCTCTGGCTGAAAATTGCAGCTGTATTGGTAGTGGAAACAAGAGTTTTGCTGTTAGTCCATTCAGACTACAGCAATCGATGAACTCCGAATGTGACTACTATTTTATTACTCAACAAACTCAATATCAAATTGCATAAAATTAAGCCTCTTCTTGAAGAATTGCATTTTGATCTGCGTTTTAAAAAGAAAATTTCAAGCTCTACTAAAATCTCGTGCTTCCTGGTGTACAATTTTTTTTATTTTTTTATTTATTTTTTTTTACAAGATGATCATCAGTCTTCTCAGCGGTAATACGTAACAGCAACAAAATGCATTACATTAGAAAGAAATTATCAATTCGTACATTACCTAATGCTGCTCATGCTTCCAGTTTCTGATCCAAGCTTACATCTCTCCAGCTGGCTAGCTACAATCTGACGTTCAGCCTCAAGTTCTCGAGTCAGTCTCTCAAACTGCAGTTCCTGAAAAAAAAGAAATGAAACCATTTGGTTTGACTTCTCTTGAGATTGAGAAGGAATTTCAGTACATAAAACTGTAACTTGTGCAAGAACTGTTAGTATAATATCTTACAGGAAAGCTTTTCTTTTTTTTTCCTTTTTAAACACATTTACAGTCCAAATTTTTGTGGTAACACCAACTCGTTCTCTCAATCACTCTAATGATATATGTCGTAGAATGAACTGGTCTATCAGGAACAGAATTTCCAAAAACATTAAACAATTTGGGCCTATGCCAAAATCATTCATAGTTCACGTAGACCTCTTAGTAACATACACATGTGGTCACAAATGAGAACAATTTGTGTTAGTGAAAAAAGCCAATAAGTTCTACAGACAATCATGTGGTGACAAAAGCTTTTGTACTCAAGAAGACAACCATCATAGTACACACTAGTGAAGTAAGTAAATTGAAGGTGTGTTGTTATGGACTGAACATGGTTTAATTTCTGCATTTAATGACGCAGAGGGAAAACTCAAGTACCTTTGGACAAAAGCCATGTTTAAAATCCTACCTTTAATTGAATGTATTTCCTTTTGTTCTGTCAGTGAAGCCAAACCAGCCCCACCAGATAAGATTTATCCACAGAGCTTATAAATGTACTTCTAAAGAGTTTTAGTTTTTATACACAAGAGATTATTTAATTAAAAGGGAAAAAAAAAAAAAGCAGTAAAGCCAATAGAAGTAAAATCCCCACTATTCCTTAAAGACCTACATTTCCCAGATATGGTAGCAGTGGTTTTAACAACTACAAAATTGAAACAAATATTAGAGAATTATGTTTGTTGTAAGTTTGCCAAATGCTGCTGCCCTTTCATTTTGGTCAGTTACATTAAGTCATTTTCACAAGTAAATAGAAAAGCTCTCTTGCCCCTTTTCTTTGGGTTTGTTGAAGGCTGAAGGAGAAATATTTTGAGATTCCACTTGTTAAATTATTCCTGTGTCCACACAAATGCACCCATTATCTCTTTCTCCCACTTTGGGAGACCTCCCCATAATGCAGAGGAATGGAAGCGAGTCCCTTGAACAACTCCCCAGCAATGTCTTGCCTAGCAGAAAAACAGTACTAGAAATGACTTGGGTCATGACTTATGTCCACCAAGTGCAATTGAAGAACTCAGTATTTGAGAGAAATGAAGAAATGGTAGAAGTAGAGAGAAGAATTCAAAAGTCTCCTTCCCATCTGTTAACTGAAACCTCTGACCAAGAAGCCAGAGACAAATGAAGGCATTAAACTTCAAATCTCTGAAATAAGGTAAACCATAGCTGAAGTGGAAGAATTCTGGTGGTTGTTGTACTTAATGCAGCTGGACAATTTCGCTTTGTTTCTGTTGTTACTTGCATGGAGTAACTTCGTCCTGCACTACGAGTAAGAGAGAAAGTCCAAGCAGATTAAGTACAGCACAAAATGGCCATTGTATACTTCAGTGGGGACTGACTATTTAATAAGGCCTACTTAATTCTACATTCATTATTCCAACAAGACTATCCAGAGTACAAGAATACCACCAATAATCAGACTGATGTAAAGCACAAAACATCACTGCTCACTGAATGTTAATAGTGCAGTAGTAATCATAGTTAATAATATTCTCTGCACGTTTTTGTAGTACTCAGAAATGTCTTTTTCATTGTTGTTTGTAGATAGGTCTATTAAAAATCACGTAATAATAATCACTTGTTTCAGATATGCCTACTTCACAGAAAGCATTTGTTTCTCACCTAGGAGAATCAATTGTCTGAAAAGCTGAAGAGACGGTTGATCAACTTTCCAAGAGTTATTTTTCAAATCCTGGCCTTGTTTGCATAAAATACCCTTACTGCAGAAAGGATTGTAGCCAAAAATATTACTAATGTTTTGAACATAAAATCAAAGTGGTATAGTATTTGCTACGATAGCATGCTTATACCAAAGCATGTAAGCACTGAGAAAGTTTGAAGGAACATCTTTATGCCATGATTACTTTGTCTACAGAACATTTTGCCTATGATTCCAGTCTCCAAAATATACTTTTCTACTCTTGACTCTGTCATTTATCTTTCTTTCCTACTTACTCCTTTCTGTTCTCTTCTGCACTGCATCTTTCTTTCATTTCCTAGCACACTTCATGACTCATCCTCCACTAATCTCTTTCAGTCCTACTATACAAATTGCTACTCTAGCAAATGCCCTAAAATGATCATTTTAAGCAGCCTCTCTGTCTCTCAATAATTGGTCCCTTATTGAGGGAACTCTGACCTTCTTAAGATGTAGAAATTAATGTTTTCTGGTTTCACTGCCCACATTATTTCAAGTCCCACCCTGCAAAGATGACTGGAAAAGGACAGTCCTGCATATGTTCCTCCTCAAGCAGGAAGCAGAGATGTGCTGGATTACTTAAGAAAAAAAAAATAATCTTGGGTTTCTAACACATGAAAATGGCTAGAACACGTAAACGGTAACTTCATTACTAGCTTGATTTAATTCCTGCTATTTCTCACTAAGCCTTCTTCTGGTGCCATCAGAAGCTAGGGGTGGAAGGAAGGAAATGGAAGGTCAGGGTTGGGCTACATGAAGGGGCAGAGCCAAGCAATTATTACCTCAGAATTATCCTCTATGTTAAATTTAAGAAACAACTGCGTTAGGTATTCCCTTGTGATGACAAAGGTGCAGGTCCACCGGCTTGCCTTGGGAATTCAAGTAAGAGTCAGGAGAGATTGCTATCCCTCTGTATCAAGAAGCCCTGGCAGAGAACAAATTAATAAGCTTCCTACTCTTTGTTCGGGAAGCAGTGAGAGTGACTAATATTTGAATAAATCCGTATGTTTAGATTTCAAGCAGCTGTCACAGTGCAAGAAGACAGAAACTAGAAATAGTATTTGCTTACATTTTATAAAAATAACTACTGAACTTGACTCCGTCATTTGTCTTATTTGCTCTGTTTACAATCATTTTCACCAGTTCATGCCACGTTGTGTTTCTTCACAACCTTCTATTATTTATCTGAATCAAGCTAATCAGAACATCAGAATTAAAAACAAATTCTGACCCACTGATTATGCAAATCTTGTCAAGACAATTGCAGAATGAAGAACAGCAGAAAATACATTGAAACATCAAGATTAATTTAAGTAATGCCACGTCAAGAGCAGCTTCATGGATTGTGCTACAAAGGGCCATGATGCCAAAGCAGGTGTTCATGAAAGGCACTGCAAAACTTAAGCGACCAGTCTGGTAGTCCTTAGCAGCAGAACGAATTTGGGAGTGGGAAGACCAAGGAAATATTAGAAATAATCAAAAGAGTAATCCAGGGGAATCACTCAAGAAAGCAGCTCGGAAAGGAAGGAACTGTTTAGAAATGGCATTTGTCCACTTCCATGAGTTGTTTTTTTTTTTTTAAGTAGTCATTATTCCATAGATGGTAATTGGGCACATTTGCCTTTTCAGTATGAGATTTATATTTTGTCTACCCTCTGCAGACATCAAAACTTCAAGCACTAAATAAAACTTCAGTAAGGTCGTACATTTCACAGTGGTCCAGAAACTGAATAAACCTGATGGAAATCTTCACCAGCTTTCGGACAAGTTATGAACTCCTGAGCTCAGAGCTCAACAAGTCACAGGTTATTTGGTTATTTTTATGCTTTGTATCTGTACTGACCTATTTTAATGTTGGGAGAGGTAAAACAGGTTAAAAAAAATTGGCTTATATTTAGAGCTGATCTCTGTCCTTTACAACCTTCGTTATCCTTCAATCCTCTCACAGACAGGTGTGTATTGATGCTGAGCAAAAGACACAGCAAAATCAGTAGACATAGTAAAAAGCAGCTGATACCAAAAAAGGATTTATCTAAATTTAGCTTGAACAGCCTTGTGAATTTATTGAATTCCCAAGAATCTTAAGGTCATAATATTGAAAGAGGAAAAGTGTTTAGCTTTTGACTGTAAATACGCTATACAAATACAAATTGGTGCACTGATGATCATTTGAATCTTCAAATACAGACAAATAACTGCACTGAGGTAAGGCTGGGAATCCCTGGTGAGATGAATGGAGAAAGCCTGATTACAGCTATACAAACAAACAAATTGTCGCCTGGATTGAAATCTTTCATAGGAGCATCCCAAAAGTACATAGGCTTTAGAAATGTACAACACTGGATTTATCTAGCCGTAACCTATTAAACAAGAAAAAAAACTGTGCCTCGATTAATGTCACAAGTAGTGTGTGTACATTGCTATGCATATCCTATGGCATGATGCATAATTCCACATAACGCAAAACACACTGTTCTTAACCTATTGTTCCAGACGCACATGAGCAGGTAAAGTTGGAGCACATACTTCCTGAGGAAAACAGCAAAACCTCGGGAAGTTTAACTTGGTGGAAAATTAAGGACAGCATCAGACACAAACCAGACCTGACAGCCCATTCTGCATCTAGACGGAAAACAGAATTTCTTTATACTCTCAAACAGAATAAAAACATCACTTAGCCATGCCCCTATCCACCTGACACTGGATGTTGTTCAGAAGCTTCAGAATTGCACTTTAGAATGAACCATTCAATTCTTCCAACTTCTCTAATTTCCCTGTTGTTGGACTGTGCTTTCACTTGTACTGTTCTCACCTTTTTTCACCCGACTGTTTCATTCTTCACTTTTACTGGAGAACAATGGGGGTGAGGGAAAAAGCTCACAACAAGGCAATAATCAGATGAGCAGAAAGGTGGCAAATTCAAAAACTCAGTGGTGGGTATGTTGTTGCAGGATCTCAGTGGAGGTCAAAATAAAGACTTAAAAAACCCAAACAACTTATAATTAATAGGTATGACTGCACCTATATGTAAGTGCCAGTTTCCAGGTAACACCAACCTGAAGGAAGCAATCCTTACACTGGAGGGCAGGACTACTATTCAGAGGAATCTTGACAAGTTGGAGAAACAGGCCAATGATAATGTCATAAAGTTCAAGAAGGAAAAAT